CGTCTTTTGCAAACTTAGTCCACATTTTCATGACCTCTCGGCTGAAAAACATATCCTCGGGTTCGTAGTCTTTCTCATGAATATAGGGTAAACCAAATACAAACGGTATGTCCTCCGCATGACAGATACCTTCAGTTTTTTGATCGCAACCAATGATTTGGGAAAATCTTTTACTTCCGTAAAGGAGTTCATAAAAGTAAACCCTTTGCCACTCCTTCACAGTTATGGCGAACTGTTTGGCGAACAGATATGTCGGACACGTGAGCATCAAATCGCCGGAAAGATCGCCCACAGCCCAGTGCATCGCCACCGGACTACTGGTGTTGACGTTTTGCAGGTAAAAGTCGGTCACCTTTTTGACGTCTACCCCATGGAATATGAGATCTAATTCTTGAACACCATTAGTAAAGTCTTCGACAGTTATATTATGCGGATGTTTGACAACATATGGGACAAACGATGAGCCCTCGTTACGTACTACACCCGCTAATAAGTCGATGTCTGTAGTAATATAAGATTATTAATGAATTATTTGTATAATATATGTAAATTTTTGAAATTTTGAAAATTTGCCAATATTTATAAATATAAATATTATAACATGTATAATATTTAATTTTAGAAAAAATTTATTAATTATTTTCAAACCTGAATTAAACTTTTTAGTTTCAAATGCTTTTTGTGCAGAAATGGGCAGAAACTCTGTGCCCAACACCGAGACTATCAATGCGTTGTCTAAGTTTATTACAGCCATTCCGTCAGCTTTTCGTAAACACTTCAACCAATCCTCAGATTCACTACAATTCATAAGTCTTGCCATTTGTTTGGCCTCAAGAAGTGCTTCAGTGGTGTTGAGCACATCCCTGTCCTTGTTATACAAACGGGCACCGCTTTCCATAATAGCCCTCTTAAACATACCCTTTGATAGGGGAGACAATATGTGCGCCGATACCGACTCACTGCCGGCGCTCTCACCAAATATAGTGATCTGATCCCTATCCCCACCAAATGCATGGATGTTATCTCTTACCTATAATTTAATCATTAATTAAATACAAATAATTATAAAATGACTAATTTTTATACCCATTTAAGAGCCAACAACTGGTCATAAAAGCCTACATTTCCGGGCGCGTCCTCCCGGCCCCCATACAAGAATCCTAACGACCCTAACCTGTAATTT